ACATACATGTATATATATCAGTGTTATGCTAGACAAAAAAATAGGTCACTTTGGCTGCCCATACTGAAACATGATGCAACTCACCAAAGAATTTAATTCAGTTCAGTTCAACAGCACTTTAACCGCTGAGCCAAACCGGCCAGGGCTCAACAGCACTTTAAAAGCCTATAATATGCCAGGCAGAATGCTAAGTATTAGAAATTATAGATATACAGAAATAATAAAGTCACCATTTGAGTCCTAATGGGATTCAGAGTTGGTTAGACAATGCAGACACTTAGTGTATTTAGTGACCAGTAGTTTACAGTTTTAGGTGTAAGACTAGAAATCACTGTATGATGTTGAAACAGCACCGAGGAGAGATGATGGACACTGTGTGGTGTGACAATGGTGTGAGATAGTACTCTTGTTTTTTGGAAATGAATGTAATTAAAATGTTACTCTGTAATTCTGTTACACAATGAGTTTGAACTTCAGAACATGTCTGAAAACGACATGGCCCTCAAATAATATTATCTAAAGATAATCTTTAAAAAGATTTTACTAATGTGGATCAATAAAAATCTATTTTCTTATATTTTAACTATGGATATTAATAAAAATGACCTTAGTGTGTGGCTGGTTTTCTATTTCTGTTAACACAGAATCATTGTAAATGTATTTCAAGTTTGATTCTTTTACAAAGAACTGATGGATTAAAGACACTTTTATTTTTTCTTAATCTTAATAATTTATTTTTTCCAGAGTTAAAGATATAATTGGCATATAACATTGTGTAAGTTTATGGTACACAATGTGATAATTTGATATATGTACATATCGAGAAATAATTAATGCAATAAAATTAATTAACACATCCCTGACCTCACACACTATTTTTGCGTGTGGTTGATGAGGACACTTAATATCTACTCTCTTAGCAACTTATAAGTTTTTTTTTTTTTTTTCCTGGGTAACTGTAGTTTTATTATTATTATTATTATTTTATTTTTTTATGAATTTTTATTTATTTTTTTGTTACAGATATTTTACCTTTTTACCCCATTGGCACCCCCCCCCCTCCACCCTGTCCCCGGCTTAGTTGTCCATGTCCATTGGTCATGCATACATGCATATAAGTTCTGTGGTTTATCTCTTCCCACCCCCCCCACCCCCCATCCCCTCTTCTGAGGGATGTCAGTCTGTGCCCTACTTCCATGTGTCTGGGTCTACTGTATTCCTCAGACTGTTATGTTCATTATATTCCGTATAAGCAACTTATAAGTTTTAAATGTAAAGCAACTTTTTCGGTCAAAGACAAATTTTTTTCTGTATTGTCAAAAATAAAAACGACATGTCTCTGGAGCAGAGCATTGGTCAATCAACCTAACGGTCAGATAAGGTTAGAATTATTTTCAAAATACTTTTGCCATTTTTGTGTGTTTGGGGGAATTTTTGGAAATAGTGTGAAACAAGGTGGAACCAGGTCTGGTAGATAAAGTGGGTTATCAAACTTTGTAATAACAGCTCAGGTGTTTGTGATAAGTAGCACTTGACTTGTTTTCCTCCTAGTTGTTTTCATTCTGACTTTGAGTTTCAAATGCTCATGCTTCATAGGGAATGAAAAGAACTAAAAATATTAGCTCAGGTTTTGAAGGCTAGCTGATGAGTAAGAGCCGGTCTATTGTGCCTCATTCATTCATTCTAACAATTTATTTGGTGCTCACCAGAACCAGAAACTGTTTCTGTGTTAAACAAAAGTTTCTAAGGAAAGAGTAAGGGGAAAAGCTGGGATGAGCAGACACTGAATCCTAGAGAGAAAGGATCCTTGTATCCTATACCTTGGGTTGAGCTATGAAGTTGGGGAGACCAACAGAAACCCAAGATAAGTTTAGGGAGCCAGAGGCAGAGAGGATCTGGATCTCACTTTCCTGATAAAGCCAAGGAGGCCAATGACATCCAGAAGCAAGATGGTGGTGAGTTGCGCTTGGCCAGAGACAGTCAGGAACAGGTTCTGCGACCCAGGAAGGTGTAGAAGCAGCACCATGTGCAAGACTGGTACAGAAATAGGTCTCACAGAGAGAACTGTGGCCACTGTGGGACAGGAAGGGGAAAAATGATCTCCTCATTATCATGTGAGCCCACCACGGCCCTGAAAGCAGCCGGGAGAGCTAGACCTAAAGAGACCTTGTGGTTAATGCTGAGGTGCAACTCGGAGTCACCTTCAAAGCTGGTAACCTCAGGCCAGGTAGGAGTCTGGGTGTTTGTTACAGCAGAAGCTAGTGAGGAGGGACGATGACCCTAAGGACTAGAGGCTTCCCCACACTCACTCCCACTCCTGAAAACTCAACCATATAGTTCTCCCTGGAACATGGCTAAAATGTTAGGTGAAGAGGGAGAACCTAAATTTGTTGAAATTAAACTCTTGACACACAGAAAAAGAGATGCATAACATAATGCGAGTTGATGCATAATGTAATGTGAGTTTGAGTTGTTGAAAAATACAATTTTATTTCATGTGGTTCTGAGTATAGAAGCAGAGATCTGTGAGCACTACACCTCTCAAGGTGGAGGTGATGGGGTGGAGAAAAGCCTTCCTTGGGGAGCAGCTGTTCGACTGGGAGGTAAAGAATGGATTGGAGTGGGCCAAGTGGACTAGGGTATTAACATGAGTCATAAAGTGCAAGAGGGAAGGTATGCCCTGCACAGGGAATGGGTTGCTCCCAAACACCCAGGGGTGCTCACTAGGAATGTTACCAGTTCAGCATTTCTGGTGATTGAGCACAAGGTGTGCGGGGAGCAGTGACACAGAGGTAAACAGGAGGACATAGGTCAAAATGATATCAAGTTGTGTATGATTTTATTTTACTGATGAAAAACTGGGAGCCCTGGCCCCTGCGTACCTACCTCTCCAGGCTGATGCCATTCCACGCTCCCCTTGTTTGCTGTTTTCATCAGACTGACATCTCATGGCACACTTCTCATCCTCAAACATGACACACGCCCCAACTAGACCAACTATTTCTTTATAATGATGATTTCCCTTATCCTAATGTATTAAACTCACTTGTACTTGTAGATGAGTGTAGTCCCTTAAAATAGTCACCTTGGAAAGCCATGTATCGTTTGTTGATATTATTCAACAGTTTTGGGACTTATCTTCGAACCCATTTATGAGCCAAATCAGGAAATCCGTTTTGTTAGCTTGTACTCCGACTTCCTTCTGACCTCTAAGGAACAGGAACAACTGTTAAATATCTTCACAAGAATGCACCAGAGGCTTGGAAAGTGATTGAAATGTGAGCCTAGAAATGTTTTAGGTAAGAGCTGTAGTTCTGAGTATAGAAGCAGAGATCTTGGAATATCTTGGAAGAAGAGAGTGTTCTTCTAAAGTGCTTCATTTAAATGTTTGCGTATGCCTATTAGAAAAGAAGTCTTGTTATCCTAAAGTTGCATCCAATGAGCTCATTGGTGAGATGACTTAAAAAGACCTATTTTAACTCAAATATACGGTAAGTAAAACCAAAGTACTTACTCTTGAGACACACACACACACACACACACACACACACACACACCCCAAAAAGTAGCTATGCTGATGAGATCTCAGTTTAATTATAGAACCCAATGAGTTCAGAATCAAATCATTTGGATTATCACATCTTGATCTCATCGACTACCAAACAAACATGGTAATAATTCTTTAGCCACTCAGTCATTGTAGACAAATCAAGATAAGAGTATGTATCTATCTTTAGAAGAAACAACCCTTTTGAGCTCTGTCAAGGATGTTTCAGCTCTTACTTAGGCCGGTTTCTACTACCAGTTAAAAAAGAAATTACAATGATCTTGAGAAAATTACATAGTATGATTTTGCTCTTAATTGGGTAACTGTGAATGTTAATACTTGGAGTGAATCAATACAAACAGAAGGCATTTTACTATTTTATTAGTTTTATGTAGGTGATGGAAACAACAACAAAAAAAATCAAAACAATGGTATAGCAAATTGTTACCGAAACAAAGTGAACATGATTTTATTTACTCAAGTTAATTTTAGTATCTAAGACATGGGACTGTTAGCTGAAGAACTTGGGTTCCAGGATTTTATCTCTAGGATGGTTAATGCTTTTCTAAATTTTGCACTGTGGACTCTCAATGAAGACTGATGAATAAGAGGCTATAGCTCTTATGATAAACTTAAACGCCTTTCCAGAAATATACTTTAGGAGGGAAGATTTTTTTTTTCTAAAGTCACCTAACTATCAATTGATTTCTTGAAACCTCAAAATTAACAGTCCTTTTAACTTTCATTCTAGAAAGTATTTAATTAAATCTTAGCAAGCTCACTGATTTTATTATTTTCACTGGCAGCAAACACTACATATTAACCGGACATATACACAAATTTATTTTTCCCCATTTGAAATCTTCTTCCTGTTAACTCTTGGAAAGCCTTTAAACTTTTAGTACTTGGGGAAATAAACAATACTATTTTTGTCCATGAGATTTATTTTTTGGTCCTTTTTTTTTTTAGTGTACTCTTGACATCTTCTTTTTCAGAGCGCTAAGTATGAGTGGACTTCAGTTTTCATTAAATCTCTGCAAGAATTGATTCAAGTGACCGACTTTTGTACACATTATGACGGGGGAATCCTTTGAAGAAAGTGCAGAGGATAATTTGATAAAAATGTAACAAACTTGACACATATTCCTTTTCTATTTATTCATGTTAATGGAGTCTCTCTCTCTCTCTCTCTCTCTCTCTCTCGTTATTACTACTCCTGTATTTAAGATTCTTTGAATGAAACAATTCAGATCAGACATTTTCATTTGATTGAAATATTTTCAGGTATTCAGCATTGCATTATAAATACTTTTTTTTACCGTCACTGAATTAATCGAACGAAAAGAACACAATTTCAATAAATGAAAATAAGAATGTAATTTTATCACTGTTATGATTCTTTAAAATAGGTGAAAAAATCTGATGCACTTGAATCTGGAAGGCTTTTGTGAAACTAATCAAACAACCTTCTAAGAAAGGATTTTTTGGCAGGAGTAAGGATTTTCCCAGAACCCTTTTTGTGGAGGGATTTCAGTGGAGGCTTTTTTAAGGGTGGCGCTCGTTTTGGGGTTTGCAGTGCTCTTGCTATCTCCACATGCCCATTGCAGTAATACTTGTTGCTCCCTTCTGACAATTGGATGAGTGTGTGTTCTGCCAGATCCATGCACTGGGCATGGACCCAGTGCCCATCACCATGAGAGCAATAGATCATGGCAGGTTTGTTTAGTTCAGTGGAATAAAATGGTACCCAAGTGTTGATATCCACATCACAAGTAGAGCAGCATGTAATCCAGTAGCCAGTTACAGACTCATCTTCCTCATCATCTTCATTATAGGTGTCAAATTCATCATCTCCATCAAAACTATTTGCTTCTGCACTGAAGCAGAATTCTTCTGAGTCTTCAAAGGGAGTGGAGTCCCCTGGGTCTTCTGTTGATGTCTGGCTATTTGTGAATGTTTGCTGATCTTCATTCACATCATCTTCCATACATTTCAACATGTAGAAATAGTATGTTTCTGAAAGAGCCTGTTTATTGTCTCCTGGTATGCCAAGAAAAATACTTCCATTTCCCATGTTGCTTCCAAACCATATCTTGCTGTGCTTAATATCTGGGGTCCAATCTGGAGTCTCCATCTCACGAATTTCTATCTTGTTGTCCTCAAAAGAGATGATGTTGCAGACCATTCTTTTTTGATTGTCAAGCTGATAGCCACCCACAATCACAAATTCATCATTGTTTGTTTGAGTCAGGATTGCACTGGAGACAGAGATTCCTCTTGGCAAAACTGTGCAGTTTACAGCTGGGCTACCCAGGGGGAGATCAACCCTTATTCTGTATAAGTTGGCAGGGCGGACGTTATTGGCAAGTGAATGTCCTCCTAAAATATAAATGGTATCATTTCTGACAATGGAGACATGAAAAGATAGCCCATCCTGAAGTTCTGGAAGGACGTATGATGTAGAGCACCCAAATTCAAAATCCACCAAGAAAACATGGGGCAGGCAGTCAGCTACACTATTCCATTTTTCTGTGATTCTTTGGGCAGAGGGTATGTATGATCGGCCTCCAAAGACAACACCCATGCTTTTCCCTCGACTGTAGACCACATCAATGGAATGACCATATCTGGCTTCAGGAACATCTCCTACCAAGTCTCTCTCAGTGCAGCGAAAAGTAACTTTTTTGTTGTTCTTGCACACAACAGACATGACATAAATCTTATCTGAAAGCTCATTGTTGGGTGTCTTCCCTCCATGGATAATGTATTGTTGCTTTTCAGACTCTAAGCCTCCTTTGAAGGTGCAAGTGGCTGGGTAGCGAAGAGGGGGAAGGTAGCAGGAATCCTTAGAAAAAACTGCAGGCTTCAGTTTGAGATGGTTATTTTTTACATCAAAATGAAAAACTCCCGTGGGGCAGGACCTCTTGGGCCAGCCCTTTTGGCCAAAGAAGAAAACTTGCCCATCAAAATTCAGTAGTGAGAAGCCCGGTTGAATTAAGGTTGCATTATTACTGACTGTAATCATCTGCAGTGACATTTTCTGATCGTGGATAGATCTTTTATCTGTAAGAATAAAAAAAATTAACGTATTATATCTCTTTATATGAATCATTGTGTTTAGATCCCCTCACATGTAAAAAGCATGTTAAAAAAAGTTTCCTCACAAACTTGTAGTGGGACTGAATTAGCAAAATCTAGGCAGTTATGGAAGCAAACAGCCACAGAACCTTCCTGTCTAAGACAATGGAAGCAGCTGGGACATGGTTCAGACATGGACAGTCCTCCCTTAGATTTCTGGGAATTGTAGTCCTTTTTCCCTTAAAGATTCACCCCTGGACGTCGGAAAGAACTACATTTCCCAGGAATCAGTTCTTCACGGGATGCGTGGCTATGGTTGTTTTTGTTGCTCCAGGAGAGGGAACTCCTAGGAAGTTTCTCTGAATGAGAGCGTCAAAAGCCGAAGTGACTAAATGGGAGCCAAAGCAGAAAACTAGGGAATGGGAGGTGAGAGTGGCTAACGCAGATCCAGTCTCCGGGTTACGGGAGGTCTGCAGCGCCAGGAGCGGCTTCAGGCAGCCCTCCGCCAGGTGTGGCCGGTGCTTCTCCCGGGGACTCTTAAACCGGCGACTTAGGAGGAACAGCTGCTTCTGGCCTGAGTAGGGTTGCCTGGAAACCGGAGCCTGAAGGACGCCCGGCGAGGTGACCTTGCAGACTCCTGCCTGGATGCTGTGGCGCTGGGCCCAGACGTGTACCCCTGAGCATCCTTAGGTTGCTGGGGCGGGGAGCTCAGGGGGGCACCGAGGTTAGAAATGCCCTGACTATTTTACAGAACCAAACGATGAGTCTCAGAATACCTGGAGTGCAGGGGATAAATGACTTGATCATGATTTTTACCACGCCTATATTTAGTAATGAAAATACAGTAATTAGACTTTAGTGAGTGCCACGTCAAAGGCCTTTTGTTTTCTCAATTGCTCTTGCTCTGGTTTTTAGGGTTCTTTTAGAAAAGCAGAAAATATTTCTCAACCACTAACTCTTTCTCCCCCCTCCGTCTTCCTTCTTCCCACTCACTCTCTCTTTCAGAAAACAGTTACTGGCTGTTATTTCAGACCTCTTTCCAGCCCAAGAAATTTGAAGTGATTCTTGAGTAATATAGCAAGCAGGCACTAAGCCAAGAGGTTCCAGAATTATTCAGGGTTTAATATCTATATTATAATATTTTTAAAAAGGTATTTACTAGATGAAGTAAGCTTGATGAATTTTTATTTTTATTATTATCACCTACCTTAGAGAGATGTCACGAGCCTTAATGAGAAACACCGGCCCTGTTTGCAGAGTGAAGTCCTAGGCACTGAAGGATAAAGGAAACAAAATATCACAGATTCCTTGACCTTTAAGAGTAAATTGTTAATATGCTTCATAAAACAGTGGCTAAGAGTGGACTCAAGGCTGTATTCAAATCCTGGCTCTGTCACCTACTAAGTACATGAACTCGGAAAAGTAATTTAACGTCTCTCTGCTTCAGATTCCTCATCTGTAAAATGAGATAATTTTACCTACTTTATAGGCTGATATTAGTTATGATTGATACATTAGTACATGTAAAGGACTTAGAACAGTACTTTGCACACAGTAAGTGATAGTTGTTATGATTATGCTTGAACTTATCAAACGTAAGATTGTTAGTACACAATTACCTGCTGGTCATGGCAGATGATATTTATAATATTAGAGATATTAGAAGAGCTTTAGGATCTGGGAATCTGCTCAGTAGGTATAAACTGATAATTTTTTTTAGACCAATAGAATTGGATAAACATATACAATGGAGGTGTGGGTGGTGAGTTCAATTTAGATAACAGGAAATAATTCATTTTTCTTGTTACTCTTTCTGTAACCCCTCATTAAATATGCAAACTTAAATTGGATTGTCTGAGTCCAAGTCTGGGCTCCAAAAACTGCTCTATAACTATCTTGGACAAGTTATTTTTTCTCTCTCTTTTTTTTATATCTGTAAAATGGGGATAATATTAGTTCCTATTCATTGGGTTGTTTTGAAAAATAAATGGAGTAACGTAAATCCCTGTGTACATAAATTTCATAGCACAGTGCCTGGCACATAAGTATTCAGTACATGTTAATACTATAATTCATTTTTATCTCCCTTGCAAAGATTCCTTGGACTATTTATGATCTATGGTCAGTCTAATGGTGGGGCTTTTTACCTTGAAGCACTTCTGTAGATGGATGTAATTAATTGCTAAATATTCTTTTCTACCTATTAGTTTTAGTTGGAAGAGTCCTCAGAGTGTGATATTTTAATAATCATCTTGTGGGCTATTAAACCAAGGGAGTAATGAATGGTGAGTGAGATGGACTATTACTAAAGTTATGAAAGCAAGCCTCCCTCTTCCTCAGACCATAGTGGTTTGTAGGTTCAGCAGCTTGTCCTGCTTTTGAAATAATGTGGGCAAGTGTTTTCTTTATTTGCGGCCTATCCAAGTGTACATAAGAGAATGCATCTGTGCAGCTAAGGAAATGCACTCTTTAGGAACCAAAAGGAAGCACTGTCCACCCTCAATTTAGTAAATGCAGACCATAAGTGACTACACTCAGTATGTTGTGCGATGATGTGAGTTGCCCACTTTTGGGTGGAGGGTGTGCTAAAGCCATGTTTGTTTTAAATATTTTTGAAGACTGTTATTGGGATATAAAGCAACCTATTTAGGTGAACATACACCAAGAACAGTTACTTTTAAACAGCAAGCTTTAAAATAATGTTTTCAACCTGGCCAGTGTGGCCAAGTGGTTGAGCGTTGACCCATGCACCAAGAGGTTGCTGATTCGATTCCTGGTCAGGACACGTGCCCAGGTTGTGGGCCTGATCCCCAGTGGGGTCATGCAGGAGGCGGCCGATTAATGGTCTCTCATCGATGTTTCTCTCTCTCCCTCTCCCTTCCTCTCTAACCAATAAAGAAAAAATATTTTTAAAAAATAATGTTTTCATTGTAGCCTGTTGACTTTATTATGTTAAGGTTGTCATAGGGATATTGGCTTCTCATAAGTGAAAACATGATTATCGTAGATTAAATAGGAACATTTTCTCAGGCAAGACATAAGGAATACTTATGTCTTCTTTGTAGGTTAGTTCAGGTTCCTAAATATTTGTGACCTGTTCTCCTTGTGATGCCCTCATAATTTCAGGGACCAAAAAATAGTGCTAAAGTTTATTAAGATGAATTATCGCCTCTTGTAACACAGTTCAAATATTGGTGTATTTAATTTTAGATTACCCATATTAAACCATGACCAGGTGACTTATGTATTTAAAGAATAAACAGGAATGCTGAAGGTGTTTTCACATTATTTTGCAATATTCATCTAGTTTTTGAAATTTTGCTTTATTAACTTAATTATGTTTTCACTAGAGCAGACTATGGTATATTTTCCATGGTTTTAACATGACTACATTAGTGACATCTTTTTTTTGGTAAGAGTTTTTTGAAAGGTTATACTAGGATTAAATGAATATACTTTCTTTAAATAGGCTACATAAAAACAGGCAGGTTTTGAAAAGAAGACACTGTTCTTCAACTGAAGGAAGTTTCAAAGTCAACACATTAAAGATTCTTTTTAACAGACAGAAATAGAGGCCCACTAAATTTATACAGTTTTCCCAACCCCATGCTAACATTTCTCAGCAGGGAGATTTCATTTATACACTGTGAAACTAGGGCCTAATTGAGAGTCAAAAGAGGACTAATAGTGTGAGGTCTGGGTTTGTAGTTTCCTGTGTCTGAACTGACTCTTTTTCCTTTCAAAGAAAACCACCATGCCCTGAAGCATGAAAACGTACTGATCAGTGTTGCCCGTGTTTTCCTGATTGCTCCAAAAGCAGGTAACCTCATGGAACTGCGGTTGTTTGGTGCATGAATTAACCATACCTTGCACGGTTAATCAGGTTTGAGACATATATATATATATTTGCTAGCAATAAAACCAGAATTAGGTCTTTCTAATTTCTGACACTTAGGCCAGAGAAGCATTCATGCACTAAGATTAACACATGAGCTCTGATGCCCCTGGAATCGAATCCTGGCAGAAGCTTGAGAGCAGAAAGCCCCAGAATTTCCAAATTCTACCTCTTCCCTTCCCCATCTCGACCTCCAGTCCACCTGTTAACTAACAGGCTGCTGAAGGGTCTTTCCCTTCCTGTTGACAAACATAGGCGCCCATCTTTTAGCTCTGGTAGAAATGAAGGTATTGGACCTACCTGGAAGCCAGAGGGGCTGCTCACCCCTCTCTGAATCTTTGCCGCTAAACCAGGTTTTAAATGTCAGCAGCACTTGGGGAAGATTCACTAACTGCCCACTCTGAGCGTGGCAAGCCGAAGGCAGACGGTAGAGAGAGTGTGTGGGCCTACAGATGTTCAAGTGCACACTGATCTAACGGGAGTAACTGACTGTGACCTTTTTTTTTCTTTAGATGGTTGAGGGAGATATCCACCAGGGTGTACCCTCAAGATTTAACTATTTCCTGACTGGCAAACAAAGGAAATGCAGTCCACTATTCATCAGCAAAGACACAAAATAAAAATCTGGTTGAGCCCTGGCCGGTTTGGCTCAGCAGTTAGAGCGTCAGCCTGCGGTCCAGAGAGACCCAGGTTCGGTTCCCGCTAAGGGCACATACCTTGGTTGCAGTTTGTCCCCGGCCTTGGTTGGGTCGTGCGGGTGGCAGCCACTCACTGTGTCCCTTTCACATCGATGTTTCTCTCTCTCTCTTCCTCTCTCTCCCTCCCACTCTATCTGAACAAAAATTGGAAAAAATGTCCTTGGGTGAGGATAAAAAAAAAAAATCTGGTTGAGACCTTATTTATATTTGTATTAAGAACATTTTAGAAAAGCACAGAAGAAAATGAAAATAATTGCTGTGATTTAAGTAAGAATCAAAGGGGAAATTATTTTTCCTAAAGCAGAGACCACTAATCCCATTGTCAGTCATTCTGACTTGGAATTGTGCTACGACGGTCCTGTCTTCTCGCGTGTAAGGCTCAGAAGGAGTTCTAATTATTGGGGATCTGTTACATGCTTTGTATCAGGGAGCTGCTGTGTAGTACTGTACAAGGGCATGATGAAGACCATGGGCTTTGGAGTCAAGCTAGCCGGGTTTTCTCTGCCAGCTTTGCCATTATCCAGGTGGAGCCAACTTAATCCCTAAGCCTCTTTGCCCACCTGTGAAATGGGGATACTGGAAATACCTACCTGAGAAGATTGTTGCACATGATTAAATGAGACAATGTCTTTGAAGTGCTCAGCCAACTAGTTGGTAGCCGCTCCTGCTCCCACCCCACAGTTTCACAATCAAAGGACGAATAAACCAAAGGTGGCCAGATTTAATTTTTCACTAGACTTTATGTTTTAGAGCAGTTTTAGGTTCACAGAAACTGGGTGGAAGTTACAGAGATTTCCCACATACCCCCTGCACCACTCATGCATAGCCTCCCCCATTATCAACACCCCCCACCAGAGGTACATTTGTTACAATTGATGAACCTACACTGACACATCATTGTCACCCAAAGTCCATAGTTTACATCAGGGTCCACTCCTGGTGTAGTCTATGGGCTTGGACAAATGTAAAATGACCTGTATCTACAATTATAGTGTCATATAGAATAGGTTTGCTACCCTAAAAATATTCTGTACTCTGCCTATTCATGTCCCCCTCCCTGCTCTTTTTACTGTTTCCATGGTTTTGCCTTTTCCCGAATGTCATACGCAGGCATACCTTGGAGATACTGTGGTTTCAGTTCCAGACCACTGGAATAAAGTGAGTGTAGCAATAAAGTGAGCTGTGATCATTGTGCTGGTGGAGGGTCTTGCCTTCAGCTTGTTAAGAAACGAAACATTTGCCCTGGCCGGTTTGGCTCAGCAGTTAGAGCATCCGCCTGCGGTCCAGAGAGACCCGGGTTCGGTTCCCCCAAGGTGCGTACCTCGGTTGCAGTTTGTCCCCGGCCCTGGTTGGGTCGTGGGGGTGGCAGCCACTTGATGTGTCCCTTTCACATCGATGTTTCTCTCTCTCCCTTCCTCTCTCTCCCTCCCACTCTATCTGAACAAAAAATGGAAAAGTGTCCTCGAGTGAGGATAAAATAAATAAATAAATAAAAGAAATGAAACATTTGTGAAGCACAATGAAGTGAGGCGCAATAACATGATGTATGCCTGTAGCTGGAATCACACTATGTAGCCTATTCACATTGGCTTCTTTATCTTAGTAATATGCACGTAAGGCTACTTTCTCTCTTTTCCTGGCTTGATAGCTCATTTCTTTTTAGTGCTAAATAAGATTCCATTGTCTGGATGGACCACAGTTTATTCATTCACTTTCCTACTGAAGGACATCATGGTTGCTTCCAGGATTGGGCATTTATGAATAAAGCTGGTATAAACACGCCTGTGCATGTGTTTGTGTAGGCACATGTTTTTAGCTCCTTTGAGTAAATGCCAAGGAGTGTGATTGATGGATTTTATGGCGAGTGTATGTTTTGTTTTGTAAGCAAATGCCAAACCGTCTTCCAAAGGGGCCCTAGGACTGTGCGCTCCCACCAGCGTGCTCAGGAGCGCCGGCTGCCGCACCTCCCTGCCAGCATGCGGTGTCGGCCCTGTCCTGGATTTGGGCTCTTCGGATGGTTGTGTAGTAGTATCTCCTTGTTTTAATTCGCATTTCCCTGAGGACACAGCTGCACGTGTGTGCACGTGGTGGGTTGAGGGGAGGCTGGGAAGAAACACTCTTCCTCGAACTCGTGACAGTGTGAACCAAGAAGTCCAGTGCACCTCTCAAGCATTTCTGTCCCAACAAGTTACATCGTTGCTCAGTGAGCTAATTAGTGTTTGAAATAAGGTCAGCCGCAACTTTTCATAGCATTTGGATAGGCATAGACAGTTTAAACATTTTTAATAGGTGATTTATTTTTTTAAATTAATTTATTTTTGTTACAGATGTTTCTCCATTGACATCCTCCTCCAGATTCCACCTTAGGTAGTTGATTTTTAAGAAAATAATATAACTAGTTTAGGAAAGGGAGATGTTTGGTTTATTAAGTGTATCTTACAATATAGGAGCTATAACCGAAACTGACAAGAGAAAAGAGGAAGGAAAAGGAAATATATGGACAGAAGCAATCTACAGTTAGTATGATGGATTGTCAAGAGAAGAACATGACAAGTAACTTGTCATTTTTTGTTTAAAGCAAGTAATTAAATATAGACGCCTGACCAGAATCACTGGTATTTTTCTGTGTTCCATGTTCTCTGATTTAAGAGTTCCATGCACTCTTTGCTGTAAAGTTAAACAGGGAAAGATTTCACAGGTGTTTTACAATGTTGTACCACTAATAAAATTCACTTAAAATTTTTACTTTTAGAGGAGGGAATTTGTGTTTTAATTTTTACCTTTGAATATAGAAACTATGTTGGTAATAAGAAATTGTGTGTGTGTGTGTGTATTGTGTACATTGAGGCAAAATTGCAAATAAAAATGCTGAGAGTAATTGGTAGCTGGGAAATTACTGTATTATCTCTAAAGCCCATTTATAACTTCAAACTTATAGGAATTCAGAATTAAAAATAGTTGGGAAATGCATCTTCAAATTTCATTTCTTTTAGGAGAATAGCAAATGGAAAGGTCGATGTTATGTGCAAGATCTGGCACTTAGAAATGAATTCCTGCAAGCAGAGAGTTGATTTAGTTCTGTTGGTCAACACCTGCTTCTAACCAACTGTGCAGGCTTTGCTTTAAAATTGGCTTTCTGGTATTGTACAAGTGCTGTGCAGTGGCTGGCAGGCCCAGGGAGCTGGGGGAGGGGATGCCTTTAATCAAGAGTGGATGCCTTCAAGTTACTGTTGTGTAAGACAGATAAAATAAGCATTGATGGGGCATTGCATCCCGTGTGAAGGTGGCATTATAATGAGCTAATACAGCTTTTATGATTGAAATATTATTGCATGATTATAAAGCTATAAAGTTGACTCAGAAATGACCGCCTTAGGGATTCCCGGCTTTGTCAGGGGCCTTGAAAGAATGTTCACTGAAAACACTCCCTGCTACTGTCCATAGTGCACTGATGTAGTTGATCGCAACTCCGAAGGTAGGAGAGCAGTTTGATATGGTTGATAAATGTGATTGTACATCCTCCTTAATAAATGTGTTAGTCTAGAGGTCCAGCGCTGTAGGAATTTTGTTCGGGGATGAAGACAGGATATTTACTTGTGATTACCCACAACTCTAAAATTTTCACACAAAAGCCAATAAAAGAAACAAAAATGGTGATAAAGGGTATTCTTCCTGATTTCAAAAAATGGGTTTTCTGAAATTTGTCTTATGGGATATCTTCCAGATTCCATGTCCACAGATAATCTGTTTTGTTTTGTTTTTTAAAAACGACAGGGTGTGAGCAGGGAAAGGAAGTTTGAATGCTTAACTGTTTGCATATTTCTTTGTTTAATGGAATGAAGAACTGTGTAATTGAAAACAGTCTGTTGACCTGTCTCCATGAGCCAATGCAGATATTTCTGGATTGGCTTAAACAGCTTGGAGGAAGAGTATATTTTGGGGAAATAAAATTGATTTTATACAATCTGCTGATGAGCAGCAAGGCTTAATGAATGATAGCCTCAAGAAACCTCATTACAGTAGCTTGGATGAATGAGCAGGAAAGGGAAGCAAATTTTTCAAGAGGAAAGTTTCTGCTAAAACATGTAATTTTACAGATTAGTGTTATTCCCACCCCCCAGAGCTTTCTGCAGGGGGAAAGCAATCAGCACGCCCGAGTTCCAACGTTCTTGTAAAACTTCTAGTGATCATTTTTTTCTTTTCCTAAATCTCTTTTGCCTTAATTGG